CTACTACTACTACTACTACTACTACCTGTTAGAATGATGACAAAATACAAATTTTAGCAGTTCTCCTTTGGTAACAGGAATGCTCAAGCCTTAATGTATCAAAAAAGGCCGTCAAAATCGTGGGTTGAACCTCCAGCGTAGCACTTTACAGATCACAGTGGCCATGAGCCACTCAACTTAGAAAATGGATCGTCTGTAAACAGTGACAATTTTGATGTCACTGACTTGAGGTTTAAATCCGTAGGTTAAGGTAAAGTTTAAGCCCACTGGCAAAACGCAACGGTAAGAGAATACACGAGTAGATGTAACACTGTTGAAAACATTCATGAAGTTATTGGTGATCCTCGTCCGAGTCAATTATAAAGAAAGTACGGCTTCTTGTCCGATCAGCAAAGCAAGTATAATCGGATCCTCATTTTCATTCTTATTTTTTTCGTTCGTCATTTTCCCAGGAGATATAAGCGATTTTTTTTTCTTTGTTACCTTTTTTTTTTGCTACTACTACTGCTACTAATACTGTTACTACTACTACTGCTACTACTGCTACTACTACTGCTACTACTACTGCTACTGCTACTACTACTACTGCTACTGCTAGTAGTGCGAAAATCTATTCAATGTAGATCATTTCTACTGTAAGATATTTAGTACTTGCGTCAGAAATTCAAAGAATATCTAACTTGACACGGTTCAAGCGACTGTAAAATGGCCTTGGACAGTGCGATGTTCGAATCCGGGAGGAATCCTATTTGAAAAGGTCGGGGGTTCTTGTCGTCTCGGGTACAAATCAAGGATTCTGGTCTCACTTAGGGTGTTGATGACGAAACGTCACCATTCTTAGCCATCAAACTATCTTTTAGGGTGCGCTCGAAGAAATAATAAAAAAGTAACGCTCTCGTTTGTTTTCCGCTGATCTCTCCAGTGCGCGAGTCGTGTCGACAAGTGCGCCTGGGATCCTTTCTTGAACAGTGGCAAGTAATCGAACCTATTCCATCTTAAGTGGTATATTTCAGGGTCTAATGAAGTTCGAGCAACGCCCACATTAGTCTCCTTTAGAAGTTGAATTCAAATTTTCCGACGAACATCCCTGACCATCTCATGTGGGAGTTCTCACCCGAGGTTCCAAATGTCTAACAGGAAGTGAAGGAGTGATGGAGTGAAATGGTCCCACCACTACAACTTGGAAAATATAAATATTTTCCAAGTTAAAATGCCGTCCTCCAAACTCGGGCATCCCTTCAGTTTTATTTCATTTTACCAAGTGGTGCGTTCACACACAATACCGTTTACTGCCCGAGTACAAGGTCGAGATCTCGTGTCGGCGCCCGGGGGCTTTGCCCGAATTCTGCTGCGAGACCCAGGCTACATGTTTGGGCACCAAGTGTGAACGCAGCCTATTTGCGTAATGATTAATCCAGGGATGTTATTTTCCTCATTCTAATCCTTTTTTTTCTTGCCCCGTCTTAGTTCTGCATATTCAGCGAGTTTTCGGACGAAATGGGAGAGATTTCCATCTCGAGGGACCAGAAAAAGAGAACTTCATCACCATTCCCTCAAGAAATTTCCACAGCAGCGGTTTGTTTAAACAGTTTATAGTAAAACTAAACATATAGATTATGGGCTCTAGATTTCTAGCGCGTGATAGTTGACTCGGGCTGCGCCCTTGTCGACTATAGAAATCGAGAGCGAATAATCTCATTGTTTTAGAATAAATCTGCTAGTCGTTCAAAACTTTATCTAAATCCTCTTCACAGACACTTTGAAAACGCAAATAAGCGGACGCCAGTTCGTTAACTAGTGCACACTGCCGTGCTACTCACTATCTACAGCAGAATAGATAGTGAGTAGCGTAGCCAATCAGCGAACGGCGTTCGTAATAGGATAGTAGAATAGCGGGAATACGAAGCCAAGCTAATGATTTATGGTTGTTGTTCCAATTGTGAATTTGATTGGCTAAAACATTTTTATGACTTGATAACGTATAACTGATTTTTTTTAAGCTATGAAGCTCCGCAATCGGAAGTGAAATCAAATAACTAAACTGAACTGATAATGTTTCTATCATAATTGACGGCCTCCTTAAGACTAAAACGACATTACTATCGATACGTCAGTAGTCAGTGAAGCTTTCTATTAGCCGGGAGTTATCTCCAGGTGCCATAGCATGCACAAGACCCGTGAATGGGAGTTTCTTCTCCTCTAAGGTGGTATACATATTTCCCTGGCCACTAAAGGTAACTCCAGCTCAGCAGTTTTAATAAGTCGCCCTGATTACTCGTCGATACCACTTATACGCGAACCTGCATTTGCTCGCAAAATATCTCCAGTGAGATAAATCAATAAGAAAATAGCAATTAAAATATTTCTTCCATATGTCATCCTCGCCCCTCACTCAAAGGTACACCGTCACGATATATTTGCTTAGAACTGTTACAAATTCACGAAATGATCCCTAGATTTATGTAATAAGAACTTAATTATCTCTAACTGAATGATTAAAAGCAATTTCTTGAAGAACGTCCACACTGCAGCATCATTTTTGCAAAATTTCAACGAGCCAAACTTGAACATTTGAAAAACTGCTGACAGCCTGACGCTTTTTCCGGCAAGAATCTATATCGCAGCCCGTTACCATCCTCGCCATCGTTAGCCATCCTCACTTCCTAATGGGTTAAAATGGCTAAAAATGATGACAGTGTCTCTTTAAAATGGATATTAAAACTTTTTGTCGTAGCTTATAAATTGAGGTACTTATTTCTGTGTATTTCAACCTAGATTCAGTGCTGGTTGGTATCGTGTACAAGGATCTTCATGAACTACTTAAATCAAATTCATCTAATAGTGATACAACTAAGAACAGCAGGTATTTAGCAAAGACGTTTACTGATTGTAAAATATATATTTATGTATCGCATTATACTGATTTATTTTAAGCCATTTATAGGATCGTTGATTAAGGCCTCGTCTACACGTCGGCAGAGAAATTCAGTTGAGGACGAAACAATCGCAGGTCATTTTGGATTTGTGGTCGAGGAAAACTCAGACAGAGAAATCATATGATAATCGTGACGTCATTGTTGCCAAAAGCTCCGTTTGCAAAATGTTTTCCGTCCACACACTAAAACGAAAGGCCGCCGGACGTTTTCAAATTCCTCTTATTTGAGGAGCGTTTTCGTGACCGCTTAATGTGGATGGTATTCCTAACCTTAGAAATATAAAGCTGCGTTTTTAAATTTATCCGGTATAGTGTGGACGGACTTAAGAATTGGTCGATTGGCTCTTTCCTCTTCAACAGTAACCTAGAACACGATCAATAAAAATTGTTTATGTTTACATTATCTGTAGGAGTGTTGGCACCATAATAATGGCAGCTACAGTGGATCCAAGGCCGAAAACATTGCAGCAAAATGTCGTCTTTAAGTTCAAGAACCTAAGGGTAACAAAGAAAAAAAAAGTACTTATGAATAAAGGAAGTGATTCTTCCAATTTAAGTTGAGCGTCCCTGTATATACAGTAGTAATACTGAGGTCAAGCAGCAGTCGAAATATAATGATTTATATGGGAAAAAACGTTTCAATTCTTAAGCTTAAAAAATGTGAAGTATGAATAAAACATTACTGCTGCGTTGCTATACGCTTTTTCCTTAATGTGTTTTGTTTGTAAAACCTGACTAGCTCTATTTTCAGGTTGTGGACGGCGAGAGATTCTGTATGTTCTGGAGCGGCTACAGCGAAAAGAAGTGAGGATCAAGTGATAATTAATGCAACGTGCTTTAATGGCAATGCCTATATCGGATCTTATCCGTTTTAATTCAAAAAATGTTTTAAGTTTTCAATTCATTCAACTTGATGTTGTTGTTTCTGTTGTTTTGATGGTGTTGGCGCTCTCGTGTTGCTGCTGCCGGTAACTTTGTTGCTGCTCTTGTTGATGTTGGATTTGTTGTTGTTGTTGTTGTTGTTGTTGTCAGCTATTGTGGTTGTGATGATGATTACGATGATGATGATGATGATGTGAGTGACGATGACGTTGACTTTGACGTTGACGTTGACGTTGACGATGAGGATGACGATGACGATGACGATGACGATCAGGATCAAGATCAAGATGAGATATGATCATTATTATTCTTCAACCCAAAAAGAGTTTTAATCTTAGTAAGGTTAAGGGTAGCAACGCTAGCCGATCCGTTGTCAAATTCGAACGATAATATCTCCCAGTCTGAATTAATTCACGAATGAAGGCAGAAAAAGTAATACTGTTTTTTTCCACATCAAGAGTGCCTTTCTGTAAGACCAACACCTTGCTACACTGTTTTGCTAGCCCTTAATTTCGGGCAGCCAGAATTCCTATTGAGTTGTTTGATTATCTAGCTAAATTCATGTAGCAAATGTTGGATGCCATTGATGTATAGTGTTCAGTACTGGTGTCATTTTGTTAAATACCCGTTTCAGTCCAGACGGATGGTCAGATGAAGGATGCCATGTCGTGAGATCGAAGAGCAGCTCAGTACAAACAGAATGCAGCTGTAATCATATGACTCACTTCGCTGTTTTATTCGACTATGGGGATAACCTTGAGGTAACGATAAGAGTAGGCAACATTAAACTCCTACTGACAAAATGTCAATAAATCGGAGTGTATTATATCATACCACTAAAAAATGTTGCGAATACAGGTTAGTTTGAGTTGGAAAATGGTAAAAACTTCGGAGTTTTCAAGTTATTCTGTTTGCAGTTTTATAATTTCTATAGCTTTCGAGTGTTCTTTAGTTTTCCGGGTTTTCGCTTAACAACTAAACGAATGCTAATCAAACCGTAACCTGACACACAAAAAAAGAAAATAACATAGTCCGGGATAGTCCGTAAACAGACTATCCCGGGTGAAGTGTCTGCTGGGCGGCCTGTGGCCGCCTGTAACAAGTATTATGGGCTAGGTCTTGTTGTTATGAAAACACGTGTGCGTGAAAACGAAAAAGCAAGGTTATACTGTCTTCAATGCGGCTTGAATGCGAACAAAAGAGTATTACACCGGCTTGTAACGAGGTTGACAGGAGTGCAATTGATGATAAAAATAGTAAATTGACATGTTAACTCGAAGACCGACTCTTGAATTGGACAGATGTAAGTAATTGCCATACAATCAGGCAAAATAATTAGTAATTAAGAATAAAAAGCAGCGTTATTAAAGAATGACATTTCGACGGCTCCATGCCATCATTCTCAAATTCAAATAAGATACGTTATGTGAGTTCGTTATATAGTGAATGTGCGTGTGAAGGTCTCAGTGCATATGATCAAGAGATAAAAATAATCGATGAATAAAAATAAAAATACCAAGCGTGGTGCGCTTGAACTGTCAAATAATTAGTCATTGAAAAATTCTTGTTTTTTCTCCTGTCACTCCTTTGTACAACAGATCACAAAAACAGATGACACGATATTGACGATTCTCACTTACATAGGGTTGGCTCTCTCCATCATAGGAATAATTCTCACGATAATCCCTTATGTTTATTTCACGTAAGTAATGAAAATACTTCATAGAAATCACCTGCTTTAAAAGATACTCATAATCAAATATAAAACTGGATTGTTGGCGACAGACAGTGGATTTTACACGTTAGTAAAAACTATATAATGCATTTACAAAATGAATCAATTTGACGAATTTGCGTGTAAACCCTTGCATAAATTACAAGCTTTAGTTTCAGGTTTGCATTATGCTTAAAAAAGGTTTCGTTTGTTCGGATAAATCGAAAGTTTGTATATTAATTTTCATTTGTTTGTTATACAATATGTAGTTTACGTTTGCAGTTTTATCCCATTGTCAAAATCAGTGTGCTGGTTTGGTGATTTCAAACAATATTTTCTATTTTAATACCTTTTTGTGTTATGTAACTATTTTACCCTATCTTTTGTTTATTTTATTTTGTTTTGCATCCACTATTTGTTGGTTTCTCTTTTTTACCAGTGATGTACATCAGCCTCTCTCTCAAATCAGGATTAGTCTTGCTAGTTCTCTCGGAGCAGGACAAGTAATCTTTCTTGCAGGAATTAATGCCACAGGAAACACAGTAAGAGAACTTAAATCCCATTTGTTGTAGCTTTTAATTAGCCATATTTAGGGACAAGAATACAAAAGCAGAAACCTACACAACGTAGGATGATTTTCTAACATGTACAATATTTTGGCTAGCCAAACCAGCCTTCTTCAGGTACAATGAGAAATTTTACATTGGGACGTGTTTTTATGTTGTATAATTGGGTAATACCGGAAGCACGTAAAACAACACAAATTGACAGTGTAAATTAAAGATAAGGGAAAATAAAATAATGAAATAACATAATAACAGAAAATTACTAAAATGTTTTCTCGTGGATGTTAAGAACATCCGCATTTTTAAATTAAAAAGCTCCCCTGGCCTTACGGATCGAGTAAAGTCCCTGTGTGTTCGACAGGAGGATGAAGTCTCTTTGAGAAAGTGACAACTAAGCATTAACAAATTCACTCCACATTTTACAGGCTTTCTGCGTTGCAATAGCGGCCATTATACAATACTTCCTCATGGCAGCTTTCTGTTGGATGCTTGTCGAGGGAATCTACCTTTACTTGTTTGTTGTCAAGGTTTACAACATCAACAACAAGATGACCATCTATCATGTCATGTCATGGTGTAAGTTGTCGCGTAATCATTTAGTTTGGGTTATTAGCTGTTAAAGCTGTTTAACACTGTCATGAGAGATTAGCCTTTGTCGCATTTATTGTCTTGTTTGTACTGCACACATGTAGCAGACGTTTTCACGGACCTCGACTGGATTCAAACGAAAGCTTGAGTTGAAAGATTTACGCATAGGACTTGTTGTAAAAATAAACCGTGTATTTTTTTCCTGTGTAAACTGAACGCATGTGTTTGATGTCGATATGACAAACTCAGCCCTGAATCGCCACTTGAGTCATGTTGTAGACACATGTTCTTGTTTATCATTTCAGGTCTTCCTGCTGTTATGGTTGCAATTTCGCTGAGTATTGCCGCAGGAAAAGATGGAATCCAGAGTTTTGTCAGTGACAAATAGTGAGAACGACATGTCTTTGCATATACTTTTAACTACAAATCCAATCTTTTATTCGTCAGGTTGCCAGAATTGTTATTTATTGCATCGAGACTGGCTCCTGCCATTTTCCAACTGTTATTGCATTACGCAATCGACATGTTGCATTAGAGGTGCCGGCTTTTCCGAAAATTAAACAGTTCAGTGGATTAAAGAGTGCGCTCGAGTTTTGGCAGGTTTGGTATGTAAAAAAAGCAAAAGTTCTTGGAACAGCATTTTGCGCCTGAGCTGTTGGGTGGGCGTGAAGTTGGCTTCCCTCCAGCAGGGGCGAAAACAAAAGAATTGATCGCAAAGCACGTGCTTACGAGAGGGTTTGTTTTCGTTTATACATGATTACGCAATATTATTTACGACCGGTTAGTAAAAAAACACGGACTGCAGTTGGTAGGCCGCATTTAGTCAGCGTTTTAAACCTGAGCCCGTGTTTTATACCCAGTCCGTAATGCTTAGTCTCCGTTCTATACCTAAGTCCGTGTTTTGTACCCAGTCCGTAGTCCATAGTCTGCAGTCCGCAGTCCACAATGCATGTTTTATACTGACCGTGTAAGTCAACACAAACGATGCCTGTTCCGTCGGTATGCTAGACCACGTGCTTTTGTTACTAAAATCTAGGACAATTATTCTGTTCACGAACATCACTTTGAATCGCCTTTGGTTTGTGGGAACAGCTACAGGTCGTTTTCACTTCCGAAACAATGAAACGGATGATATGTTGGTGTACCAAAGCAATCCTGTGGGAGCTGAACTTTTTTCCTATGTAAACACTTTCGTTGAGTTTATGTTACATATTCTGCGCACAAAAATCTAGGTCAGCGAATTGAAACTAAACATTTCCTTCTTTGATATATTCAGCAGAAAGCAATGTTGCTTTTGGTCGAAGAGAAGAGGGTACACAACACGTAACCAAACTACAGCTTTCTGTTCGTACGAACAGTCATACACATTTCGTGAAGACATATCTGCAAGGTTTAACGCTGACTTCGAACTTTAAATAAATAACTTTTCCGCTACAGTCCACAATAAGCTGTCTCGACATTCGAAAGTCCGCAATATTGCACAATAATCGAAAGAAAGCACATGGACGAACATGGAGATGACGTCATTCGCCCCTGAAGAATTTTTTGGGTGGACCAAATTAGGGTCCATAGAAAGATACATACAGGGAAACTCGATTTTCCTCCATTACCCGATTAGAACTGCGTTCTGTCGAACGCAATAATTTACCATCGTCGTTATTTGTCTCCACGCGGGACGCTATCGGCACTGCAGTGTGCGGGGTGCGTGCCACGTGTGAACCTAATGCGAGGTCTGGCGAGCAGTTGGTCTCTCCATGGCTTGATTCCTGAGGCGCCCGACCGGTAACTGGGGCGCATGAGTTCGAATAGTCGGGGAATCAGATTTTCTCTCTCCACGTTACCCATTAACGCTCACAAATGTTGAACTTTCCCTCTCGACCTCATTAATAATTCATAAAGTTTAGACAAAAGAAATAATGATCGTGACGGTGTTTGGGTATCTGATTTTAATCACCGATTTTTACGATTTTATTTCTCTGTTTTCTCCTTATAGTTTTAGTTTCGATTGAGATATATCAAACACTCAAACAGTATTTGAACACATTTTCAAACACCTCGAAGTTCGTCAAAAATACTTCGCTGGACTTCGCATTTTCAACTCTCCGCTCGGTGTTTGGAAATGTGGTCAAACACGGTTTTACGTGTTTGACGCATTACATCTGTCATCTTCTGTTTCCCGTTCGTTGTTCCTTAATGAGTTCTCTCTTTTCGTTTTCTTCCTCAAGCTGCTGGATTTCTTCAGATAACAATCTGATCTGGACATTTGTCTCTTTTGTGGTGATAATCGAAGTTGTAAGTAAAACTAATCTCAAAGAAAGTTAGTCTAACAGACTTACTTTCTTTAATACAAATTACAAACAAATTATAGTGTACATTATTCAGAATTGCTCATGTGTAACCTCGCACACAGAGTCTTCGTTCCCTTCGACCATCGGTCCAGAAACAAGCGACCGTGGAAAGGTTCGATTGGAAGTCTGAAAATATCGGACTTGTGGTTGAATTGCACAGGCGCACCTGACAAACACGTCCGGTCCTTGCATTGTTTTCAAAACGAATAAAAATCGATACCGTAACAGAATCCACGAGGGTCAATTGTTTCGACAAGCTTGACTTGTAAGGAGCAAAGATTCGAGGCACAAGATTGTCTTTTACTTTGCTTTACTGCGATCTGTGATTGCGTTAGCAAAAAATTTGTCAGAAGGGGGTTTGCCCTGATCGTTTATCTAAGGGCGTTGGAATTATCACCGAAAGTTCCCGCGTTTAAATCCTCCGCCCTGTCACTATGTTCACTATGTTTATGTTCGGTGATTCGCGAATCTGTGCTTTGCTATCAGCTAACTGGTTAGCACCAGTCCTCCATTTCAAGTTGACATGTGTTTCACATTTTTAAAGACACCATAAGTTTCTAGCTTTAAAACGCAACCATGTGTGAACCAATTCGCTTTAATACCTTTTTAGTTTCTGTTACGACTGGAAGCAGTTGATATCTTTGATTTCTTTCATGAATTTCTCTTTTTAAACTAAGGTTAACTTGTCGATACTTGCAAGAGTGATGAAGGAAATGGCCACAATGCAATCAGCTGATGAAAAGCATGTTCAGCAGATAAAGTAAGAATTAAGTCTTAGTGAATGAGAACAGTTTTTCCCCAGGCTAGTGCGCTCGACTACAGATCGAGCGTTCCGGGTTCGAGCTCTTGCCGGGGACATTGTGTTGTGTTCTTAGGCTAGACACTTAATTCTCGTAGTGCCTCTCGCCACCCAGGCGTATAAATGAGTACCGGCGAATTCTATGCTGGGGGTAACCTTGCGATGGACTAGCACCCCAAGTAGAAATACTCCTAGTCGCTTCAAGCCGGGGATAAGCTCAGGCCACATGGTCCTCTAGGCTCGTATCCAGAATTTACCTAGCTACCACTCGCGCAATCCCTGGTCGTAACCAATCGATCATTATACACTTAACTTGCCTGGGTGTCTTTTTCTTCGCAGACTTTCGCACCATTTATGAAAAGAAGCCGAGAGTACTTAGAAGTGAGATTCGGTTTCAGATTTTAAGAGCATATTTAACTAATTTACCAATTTGTTATAATGTTGTCTTCTTACAGACTTGGCCTCAAGGCATGCGCAGTGTTGATTCCTCTTCTAGGGGTCACATGGTTGTTCGGTCTTCTGTCGCCTCAGCACAAAGCTTTTGTTTACATTTTCACGATACTTAACTCTGCTCAGGTTAGTTTTGAGTCCGGATCTCACGCGAATACATTTTCATTACTAGGACTTTAAGAATTTTTTAGTGATAAAAATTGGAAAATTCGACTATCTAAAGATCTAGATATTGTACAAAATGATATAAAGTTCTCAATTTGAGGTCGCTGTGTTGCTCATATATGTTATTTTGTGTTTACATTGATTTTTGTAGTGATTCGTGCTACATTTACTTTCTTAAAAGCTGCCGCTTAATAGTCATGAACGTTTTTACCGCTGAATAGTCATGAAGAGTTAATCTACACACAAGTCGAAAAGAGTTGCAGTTTCGGAATTATTCTGAAATAGCTATACCGAAAACACATTAACTTTGCCGTTCTTCAAAACTACTTATGAAACTTTTTCTTCTTTAACAGGGATTTCTAATTTTTCTTTTGCATTGTTTGAGAAACAGTCAGGTAAGGGCGCTGACCGGAAAATTATCGATGAACTCTTCAGCGAGTGCATCGCATTGTTGGAGGAATCTAGCATAAATGTTAGGAATAACTCTACTCTTGTCAAGTCATGTCAATCAAGTCAAGTCAGTATTATCCAAACTTACACAAATACGGTTAAGTTGCTTATGTCATAGGAAAGCAAGTTAAAGGACCGCCGATACGCAATGTGCTCAAGAGTCAAGTGTCACACTTTACTGTTATGTAAAGGTGTTAACAGGTTTAAACTTAGGATACAGTAATCCAAAAAGTCTACCTTAAAGTTTGCAATATTGAGCAGAATATTGCAAGTGAGCTTTTTAACTTTAGCAGCAGACAGTTCACTTAAATTTGTTGTTTCATCCTTAGATTAAAGAGCGTTTCAGAAGAAGGATAAACGTGGTTTTTCCACGGGCAAACGATGAAAACCATGCCAAGAAAGCTTCACAGTTTAATCGAAGTGATGTCGGCGCAGTGAAGAAAATTGAAGTCCTGCCGTGCAGTGATAGCGTATTTGAACTGAAGTAGCACTAGAGGGAAACTTTTTCTTTTTAAATTGTAATCTTATAATTTTAACCTTATAAGGCTTCCAGTTAAAAACTGGGGGCATGCCCCCCCCCAGAAAATTTTGCAAAAATGTAGCATTTTGGTGCGCTGTCCATGATTTTCAGCCAATAAATGTAATGTATCGGTTGGACTTGAATGATAATGCGTCGTTTACTTTGCCGAAAACCTAAAATAGATTGAAAATAGCCCATACTAAAAACATCAGTTAGCACCTCCATGATTGTCTTTGACTACATTGATCTTGGCGGCCATCTTGGGGGAAGTGTTTCAGTTCGCCATGGGTATGCACATCTCTGTCCACAATCGTAACTTATCATGTCACCTGTGAAATCACTCCAATATCTCTAGGCTTTCAAAACACGGTATGTGCTTGCTAAAATGCAAACAAATCAAGCAGGATGTTGTTTATAACACATGGTTTTTTTATCACTTTTAGGCCATGGGTATCCAGTGTTTGGCTGCCACTGTCCATGATTAAGTTACTACGCACAAAATGTATAAGCCTTGAAAGGAAAAAACGTCAGTTTTTATAATTCCTAATTGTAGAGAAAACCAGGACTAAGAAATTAAAACTGCAGCATAAAGTGGCTGCCAAGGTGCCATTCAGGCGGATACAGTTTGTAAGCCCGACAGTGCAATTCACTCTGCAGGAGTTTTTTTTTTTTTCTTCACTTCTTCTTTGCACGGTTTTTTGTTTTCCAGTCACCCTCCCTTGCACGAATTTTTGGTTGTTTTTTTCCCCACCCCCTCCCCTCCCGATCACTTTTCTAATGATAAAGCGTTCTTCTTACCATTTATGCTAGAGTGATTTTGTCATCATGAATGTTGCAATTTTTGGGTTGGGAATGGACCTCATTATGTTCCTGCATGCTGTTCGTATATACTGTACAGCTGTCATACCTTTAACTGTGTGTCTCTACAGTCACTTTTGGGAAGTTTCCTAAGACTGTGTAGAATTCCAGTAATTTTTTAAAAGGTAATTAATAGCATATACTATGAACAGGAACTGAACTATTGTTGGATGTACAGCATAAAGGCAAATAACAATAGGCCACTTTCGATGTATTAAATTCAGCTCAGTTCAGAGCGAGGCCTAGAGAACAAAAATAAAAGAAACGAATAAACATGTCATTCAATTTCCTTTGTTTGTGTCCTCTAAACCTCACTGCCAAGCTGAATTTTAATATATCGAAAACAGTCTCTTAAAGACTATGTTATAAAATGCAAGTAAAAATTCATGCCACCACTAAGTCATTTGCAAACATTGTATAAAGGTGGCTGGATCATAGATTTTACACAACGTTTCGATGACTCCATGTCATCATTTTCAAGTGAAGAGAATAAAAATTGATAACTTAATATATACCATGCGAGGTGATAAAACGTAAAGCTGTAAAAGTGTACATGTAAATGGTGACAAATTTAAATAAATAGTTTTGCGCGTACGGAATCTGATTGTGTGTTTAAGCATGGCCTCTTCTTCCTGATGAATAACATTTCATAAATCAGACAGTCCAGTTTTCCGTTGCACATCTTGAAAACGAACAAGTTGTTGGTTAAGGTCGTCGTTGGTTTCCAGACCGTGGTCGTTCTTGCTGAATAACGGTGTTCGTCAATACGCTGACGATACCAACAATTATTCCGTTTTGAAGAAGTGTAACGGAAAACTGGACTATCTGACTTTATAAGTATATATATCGTGTTAGTATATACCACACAAGTGAATAGTGCTTTTGGCGCGCTCTGATTGGTTAACTCGGAGGTGATTAGCAAGTACTATTCACCTCCGAGCAACCGGCGCGAGAGATTCTAAAATTTCCGACCGCTTGTCACACACAAAATAACGTTTTGGTTCGCTAATTATTCAGCTTGTGTGGTATATACTAAAACAATTATTTACCTCAGTGTCGGTGAAAGTGATGGATATTTACCTGGTCGCTTCGCGGCTCGGTAAATATCCACCACTATTCACCTCCACTTCGGTGAATAATCGTTAATTATTCCATTATCGGGCACTGACCGTACACATGATTATCCAGGCTAATGCAGTGAAAGTCTGCACTCTAGTTAGCCTGAATAGCGCTCCGGTTAGACTGAATATCACTCCCTGGATATCAGTCAGCTGGTTAGGCTAATTAACCTAAATAACGCTCGGCCCCGGTTAGCCTGTTTACGGTTAGCTCTCAATGGTGGAAATGGTGACACGATTTGAAGTGAAAAAAGCTATACTCTGCTGTCTGCATCTTAATCGAATCATTAGTAAGCGGGTGGGAAAAATAAGAAGCAGGGGGAGGGGTGAGGCGAGGGAAGGAAACGCCTGCATTCAATACTAGACATTTTACCGAATGCCCCCAGACATGCCGCGCTCCCTTGGGCCTCGAACTGTCACATGAGAACCCATGATCAATCATAGCCGCATAAAAATGCTTTCTTTTTATATGGCTTCGCACAATTGCCGCATCTGTCATTGTTCGTTCAAAAAACGAAGTTTGGAAAATAGAGATACATAAGCTTGATTAAACTGATGCAAGAAACGGACTTCTCTGTACAAATGTATAGTTTTCTCGAAGTAAAGCTACAGCCGTCTCTGAAGAAAAAACCGGACGAAGATATGACATCTGTGATATCGTGGTAAGAAGCAACGTACTGTACTTGACTTTTCTACCGAATGAACTAGCCAGACGGCACAATTAGAGTTGCAGAATACATTTTCACGAAATGTGTCAAACTTTTGCCCTCAAAAGCCAACACTTTGAGACTTATAAACATAGAGTGTAACTTGCAATAGAAATGATAAGATACAAAGTGTAAGCACATGTCGAATTTTAAAAAGAGGTGTGTCAAACTCTGCCAAGCGACATGTAGATTACAGCGGTAACCTTGTAGACCTATGACCTCTAAAGATTTACAAAAGCACTGTCTAGATTAAAGGCTCCACTCTATTTAAAATTCCTACTAATAATACAACATAAAGCCGGCCCCTCATAAACACATGTGAGGCAAGGAAGGGTCGAGAGACCGAAAAGAGAGAAGGGTGGCAAAGGGTTTTTGCGTGACGCGTGATCGTCCCAAAATTAGCAGAGTGATGCATGATTGAGACCAAATTAACCGCGTGACGCGGGACAGGATATGATAACGTAATGCGTGATTTACTATTTACAAGCACGTGATGCGTGATTTACCAATTAGATTTCCGTGATAAGTGAACGTTCTTTGAACTAGAAGGATAGCATTCATTCAAAGTAAATTGTAAATAAAGTCTTAAAAAGATCATCAAATCGTGGCAGATATCGATGTGACACCATTTTCTGGTCTTTTTCGTCCTTTTCTTGACCTCTGATGTGTTTGATCTTCGTGGATCTTCATGGTACTATAGGTCCAAAACACTGCGATAGGAATAAATCAATTGAAAATAGTTAAACTTTGTACAAGGACTATGAGCTTCAGTGTTATTTTTGTCCATTTTGTCGACCGATCATTTTTGGCAGTGCGTCAGACCAAGGGAATATGACACACCATATCCGAATTCGGCTATCGTATAAAAGGTCTGAGCAAATTTCGTCCAAAAGGACTGAAACAATAACACACGTTAGAGTTTGATGTCATTTTATACCGCTCGAGAAGAAAATGGTGCAAGCAAGGAGAGAAGAAAAGGCGAATTCTAAGGAAATCTGTGAAGAAATATCCTTTCCTTCTTTTTTCAGAAAAATGCTGATGTCAGCATTTTGTCGAGATTTAAGGCTAAATATCTCGAAAAAATGCGTGGCTAGCCCCATTTTTCTTTACGGATTCCAGTAGCCCTTGCAAAGATCTACTTTTTCCGCATGGTCCTAATCTGGCGCAAAACCTGTTGTATTTAGTAAGCACCGTCCTTAAGCAGTGATGAACCGCAGCTTTGCAATCCAAACTTGCCCTAAATTTGACAGTTATAACGGAGAAACTTTCGCTTCTTCTTTTTTGAACATTTTTTCCGACACTATCTTTTTCTAAATCAACGGAGAGCAAAAACTTCAATTGCAGTGGTTTAAAACTGCGATCTGTTCAGGCAGCGTGGTAGATATGCTACCGGAGAATTGCATGGCGTGACACCGTCGCAAAGAGAGCAATTTCGAAATATCAACGTCACACACGTTTTTGTTCCCAGCACACAATTTGTCATATCAGTCAGGATTTTTTCCCTATTTTTTTAAAGAAACATTAGAGAATTGATAACAAGAGTTTACCAAGGAAGAAGAATCAGTGTAAATGCTCTGTTACAACTGCACGCGCCATATTACTTTTGACTACTTGTCTCAGCGCGTGCGGCAGAGTAATAATGCGCGCGAAAGTTAAATTTGATACTTTTAAAAGCGGGATGACGCGTGTAGTTTTAACAGCGTATTCACTCTAATGAAGACTGCATTAGGCAGTTGAAATCGTAGTTGTGGTGCAAATAATTGGTGATAGAATATATTCAGGAGAAAGAGAAGATTTGCAGGTAAAGAGTCTCAATAATTGCAATGCTTTTCTTCTGTATATTTTTCCGCAAATGCCTTTTACATTTTTTTTTTTCGCCATCAAGAGACGATGCAAGTGTGTTATTATCAAACGAAATCCTTGCTGTGAAGAAACTTTGAAAAGTTCAACTTGCAGGACAATCCAACTGCATAAGTAAAAAGACATACCTATATTTATTGAAAGCTAAAACGATCGTAGTACAGACATAACCGCGGAGTTAAATGACACGAACTAGTCTCGAGTTCAGCTTGAAAACCTCCGACAGAATTACAGTAATCGGGTTCTGCTTTTGGTGCTTTGCAAAAACTCGTTAAAGGCTGGTTTTCACTAGCAACGAAGTTGTAGCCGGAGTCTTAATCAGAAGTGTGGAGTGATACGATCTAGTAAAAATCAAACCAACGGAGTCGGAAGCAGAAAACCGATCCAGCTTATGACCCTATCGCTTACGATCTAGTGAGAAAATTGTTGGGAGTAAGAAACCGAAGCGGAAAAATAAACCAATCGCAACACTCGATTCCGGACCTTCTGATTGCTTTGTTCTTCCGCTTCT